TTGAACCGCCAGCCTTCTGGTTAGCAGTCAAATGCTTTAGCCACTATGCTACCAGAGCTCCCATAGTCAATTCATTTCTGACAAAGGTGCTAAGTTCATTAGATAGGGAAAGAAGAGTATCTTCAAACGATGTTGGGAAAACTGGATTTTTACATGCAGAAAGATAAACAGAATCCATGTCTCACACCATACACAAAACCAAATTCAAAATAGATTAGAAACTAATGTTAAAACTAAAACCATAAAATTCTTAAAAGAAAATACAGGGATAATACTATCTGGCCTAGCTCTTAGCAACCATATGACCCAACAATTCCACTGCTAGGTACAGACCCCAATGATTTGAAAGCAGAGACTCAAACAAAGATTTGTATGCCAATATCCATTGCAGCACTACTCACAATAGCCAAAATGTGGAAACAGCCTAAATGCCAATCAGCAGATGAATGGATAAACAAAATGTGGTACATGTATATAATGGAATACTATTCAGCAATGTGAGAAATGAAGTCTTGATAAATACTACAGTTTAGATGTAGCTTGAAGACAATATGCTGAGTGAAATAAATCAATTACAAGAAAGAAAATATTATATAACTTCATTTACATACAATGACAAGAAAAGGCAAACGTATAGAGAACAAAGTTCCTTAGTGGTTACCAGGGGAAGGAAGGAGAGAAAAAAGGTTATTGTTTATAGAATACTGAACTTCAATTTATAGTAAAGGACAACTCGTGTTGATTAAGAGTAAGTTTGCACAGCCAATTAATGTAATTGTTGTCAATAAGTTATACACCTGTAAAAAGTTGAATTGGCAAAAGTTGTGTGATAGATATATTTATAAGAACAAGAAAGCACATAAGCAGCCGCCGAGGCTGCTGATGCACAACCAAACAACTCATGGGATTTGATTCCTTGATTTGCAGGCTTAGGGTCATGGTTTCTTGGTACATTACAATTATTTGGTCTAAGAACATGTTAGGAGCTCTGGTAATATAGTGCCTAAGGCACTTGACTGCTAACCAGAAGGCTGGTAGTTCAAACTCACCAGCCACTCCTCGGAAGGAAGGTTGGGCAATCTACTTCCATAGTGATACTGCCCCAGAAACCCAAGGAGGGGTCGCTATGTGTCAGGGCTGACTCGATGGCACATAACAACAACAACAACAAGATCATGTTTAGAGTTTTTGTTCTACCATAGTTTGTTGTGTAGTGCTTGAGGTCTTAAAGCTTGCAAGTAGCCATCCTTGAGACAGTAATTGGTCTCAATTCACCCAGAATAACAGAGGAAGAAGAAAAGTCAGGAATAGGAGAAGGGTATGGAATGTGTATTAAGTCTGGGGCCTGAGGTAGGCAGGCCTAGGGCTGGGAGGCTGCTTTCTGCTTGGGGCAGTCTATTCACTGAGGTTGGGGCCTGAGGTAGGCAGGTCCATGGCTTGGAGGCTTTTCTATTTTTATGCCAGGGCCTGATGTAGGCAGGCCAGGGGCTTGGAGGCTGCTTTTTGCATGGCTGTGGCTCTA